CTTCATCACTGTGTCTTTCTCTGCCCTCTGGCAAATTAAAAATGAATAAATAAAACCAAAAAAGGATCAAGTGGCATGAAAAGACGTATTCCATCCTCCCCACTCACATTTCTCCCTAGCCATGGGTGACCTTTTTTTGTTAATTTCTGTGGGTCCTTCTATAGCTTTTCTGTTTAACTGTGACATAAAATATTAACACAAGACTATGAAAACACACAATGATAAGCTGAATGTGGTAGCCATATATGGAATAGTTTTTAGCCTTAAAAAGGAAGGAAATTCTGATACGTGTGAAAGCATGGGTGACCTTTAAACACATTATGTTTAATGGAAGAAATCAGACGCAGAAGAGCAGATAGTCTATAATCCATTTCTACGAAATCTCTCAAATTCCTGAGACAGAAAGTAGAAGTTACTGGGGGCTAGGAGAAAGGAGAGAATGGGGAACTATTGCTGAATGGGCACAGAGCTTTCGTTTGGAAAGATGAAAAGTTTCTGGAGATGGATGATGGTGATGGTGCACAGCACTGTGACTGTACTGTGCACTTAAATGGTAAATGCGGTGGGGCCAGCAGATGGCATCATGGTTATAATGCTTGTCTCCCACGTAGTTGATCTCGGTCCGAATCCTGGACCTGGTGGCTTAAAACTCACACCAGGTGTGTGCATCGCATGCCCAAGATCCCAAGAGGAAAATTAAGAAAAAGAGATTGTGGTGTGGTCATCTCCCTCAAGGGGTGATTTCTCGCTCTCTGTCTCTCTCTCTCTTTGGCGAGCGCACACACCCTATAGCGAAAATAATGGTTAAAAGATAAATTTTATGTTATGTATAGTTTACCACAAAGCACATATGAGCAGAGTAAAAAATAATGATAAAATCAACATTCGTGTAACCATCCAAAAATAGTCAAAGAGCATTAGAGGCCAGACAGTGGCACAGCAGTAATACAACTGGGCCCTCATGGCTTTCAGGCTCCCGGGTCCAGGACTCCAACTGTAGTTGGCCACGTGGGAGTCCAGAGCCTTAACCACTACACCACCTACTGGTCCCATAGTCCTGACATTTTGATAACCATTTCTAGAGTTAAAAATAAAATAGTTCAACCCATATGCATAATATAACATTCTAGATTAAATTTTTGCCTGTTTTTGACTTTCATCTAAATAGAGTTACATCCATGTATTTGTATCCTGGGTTACTTTGTTTAACATGGTTTATGAGGTCTTCCATCTTACTGATGTATCTGTAGTTCGTTCTGTTACATAAGTACCTTACAGCTCAGTGCTTGCCTAATTTTTTGATGTTCGTGTGCCTCCGAAAAGGATGTGCATTTAACATTTATCAGATGTACTGTTTTATGCCTATTACTAGATCTTTTTTTAATCATGTTATTTAAATCTTCCCTATCCCTAATTTTTCCCCTATTTTTTCTCTTAATTACCAAGAGAGGTATGTATTTAAGAAAAAAAAAAAACACTCTGAATATTATATATCTTTGTTTATTTGTACTTATGTTTATTTTTGCTTCATATCATTTGAGCCTGTGTTATTAGTACTATTAGTTTAATATTAGAGTATCTTTCTGGTGGTTTAAATGTTTTTATCTCAGTTATATTTTTTGGAAATTTTATGCTACTTTTATTCTTTCTGTGGTTACATTAGAAACTTAAACATACATATTTCATGTCTTTTTCCTACTTTTAGGCAATTCACTACTTTTCGGTGATAAAAGTAGGATAAAGGAGGCCAGCAGTTGGCATGGAGGTTAAGGCACTGGGTCCCAGACAGCCCAGTTTCGCTGTTTAAGTCCCAGACCTCGTGGCTTGAGAATCCTGCTGGTGCGTGTGTGTGCATGCCAAAACTCCCAAGAGGGAAATGGAGAAGAAGGAATTTGCGTGTGGCTATCACCCTGAGCGGGTTGGGAGGTGATTTTTCACTTTCCCTCTTCTCTCTCTGTCTGTCTCTGGTGAATGCATATGCCCTCTGGCAAAATTTAAAACAAAAGAAAGAAAGGAAGGAAGAGAGAAAATGCCTTCTGATCTACATTTCAGTTAATGAATTGTCTTTGCAGCTGAGCCTAATTTGCTGTTAAACACATGCGCCTGCATCACAACACGGTGGAGAAAAAACAGCAAGGCCAAGGGTCATATGCATAGAAAGAGAGAGAGAGAGCCCAAGGATGGCTCTTACTTTTGTAACAACTCCTCTCTGGGGACTAACGCCTTCCCATGTAAATGAGAATTCTCTCCATCTTGTGAGATGGCATTAATCCATCCACGTGAGTGATGCCTCCATGACCACCTACCACCCACCTCTTGAAAGTCTCACCATCTCCGAATGCTGTTACACTGAGGACCAAATTGCAACACATGAACATTTGGGGAACAAGCTCTCATCCAAACCAAAATAAGAGCTATGTATATTGATGCTACACCCTTAGGAGTTCACACTCTCTACAGTAAAGACTCAAGATCAATTTCTGCATTCAAAGGCATTGCTTAGTGTACTCCATCCCACTGCCTGAAAGAATTGAAATGAATGTTTTAAAAATCTTAACTACTTAGCTGTGGAGGAGGACCCATCTTGCAGTGTTTCTTTGTTTTTGAAAGTCACTTAAAATATTACTATTCAAAACAATTATCAGTCCTGACAACTGTAGGATAAACCTAACTCTGGAGGGTGATCTAGAAAGCCTTTCTCCATGTTCAAGAACAATTAACTTAGCTCTCCAAGACACCACATTACTGAGAGCCACAAAGAAGTCGCATCATCCTATCATATAACAAGCACGTCACTTAAATCTGCCAGCAAAGTGTGTCTGAAAACACATGAGCACTTGAAGACCGATCACATCACCACTGCACCGTTACTATAGTTTGCTGGTGAAAATAGAGGGATGACCCCACCAAAGTGCCCCTCACTCCACCTTGTCCTTACCGTGCATGCAAGCAAGCCCTCAAAGACACTCCAATTGTGCTAGCAATGAAGTGAGCCATGTTCTTGGCTCCGTTCCCAACATTGTCAAGGGATATGCATGGCAAGGATTTGAATGAGAATTTACATCTTTCTCTCCACAAGAAACAGACACCCCAAATGTAAGAATCTATTTCCCATCTCATGCTATGGGGTGTGTTCATAATTTTCTGGCTTCTTTGAAAAACCTAGAAATAGGCATGGCTTCTCTGCTCTTTTCCCAGTTTTCAGGGAGTAGCCACTTTTTAGGGGGTTAGACTGAGAAGTCACAGACTCTGGACAATGTCTAAGAAAATGAGCACTCTGAAGATAAAAGAAACAAGAATCAACACTAAGTGGGTCGAACCAGCGTTTACACTACCTCCCCCTCATGAGAGGATTGCAAACTGAGAGATCTGGGGAGCATTCAATGCCATCTGGACAGTGGGGGCAAAAGGGGCAGGCTTATGTTCAGAACCGAAGCACATTTCTGCAGGAAAGTGTGAAAATAGAAGCCTTGAGTGTAACTATATTTTATCCCAGGCAAACATGAACTGAATCAGGTATAATTTCACATTCTAATCACTAAAAAGGTGTATTGTGTTTAAGGCAGAGATGACTCACTATTTAATAGTCACAGAGCACTGCCCAGGAGCAGGCAGCGTGCAGGGACCGAAGCATGCAAGGACCACGAGATGCTCTCCCTCCAGAGGGTGTGTGTCTAGCAGAGCATGCGCTGCTCTGTGTGGGCACCCGCATCTTCACTCAGGTCTCCTGTGAGAGCAGGAAGTGACCGCATGCTTAGCCAGGTCCCCTGGGGTCTGCACCTGGCATGCAGGAGATGCCCGATGAACTTCTGCTTCACTAATGAGTTGGGACCAGGCAGGGCTGTGGTGAGTAAGGCAGCTGGATCCCATATGGCCAGCCCCCCTGTTCAAGTCCCAGACCCTGCAGCTTGAGACACATGATGTGTGAGTGTTCCCAAACTCATGAAAGGAGGGAGAAATGGAGGCAAAAGAATTGCTCCAAGACTATCTCCGTGGAGGGTGATTTTTCACTTCTCCACTGAGTGCACCCACCCTCTAGCACATGCACACACACACACAAAGACTGTGTTCTTTCTATGTCTGCTTTGTGCCGGGCCCATGCAGCAAGTGCCATCAGGACTAGCAGTGGTTCGTCAAGCTCTCTGCAGACCTGCGTGGCACCTGTTCCTCTCACACTCACGTAGCCTGTCGGTCACTTCACTGCTTTTACTGCAAATCACTGCAACTAAATGCTTGACATGTTTTCATCCCCAAAGAAAGCAGAGCTTCTACTGACTGAAATATCACTAACATTATTCATGGACACACACGCACTTGGAGGGAGTCTTCAGAAAGTTCACAGAGAATGCATGTTATGCCATAGGGAGGGCATTACCATGCCCAGAAATGTGTATTGTGAAAAATATTATGCACGGATTTAATTTTTCTCAAAAATAAACTTGTCCTTAAATTCCATTTGCTTCGAAGCTTTTGAGATTTACTTGTATATGTATAAGGTGAGTATGCACACACAGACTGACCTGTGTGTACGCTTCAGGAGGCCTCAGATGGCCGAGTCACACGAGGGCGAGAAGGAAGGGCAATGGGGACACAAGGGAGCAATCGTTTCCTTTTTCCGCTTTTTGTTGATATTACTCTGCAGACTCAGAGAATCTTGCCGTTATGTGAGAATAAGGCTACATTTTAAGGTGAACATATGCTACATAAAAGCATTTAACATTAATGACACCCCAACCACAGTGGTGCAGTGACAGTGCAAGTGCCCCGTGGGGCTGGAGGCCATAGGGATGGCTGTAAGTTCAGATCCCTGGTCAGCCTGAAAACACCCCAGACATGTACATGGGTGCCCAGGACCCCGAGGGTCGGGAACGCTGGGGAAAGTGATCAAGGCACTTGAAGGTGTCGCTCCCACACATATGGGTGTGGTCTGTCATTTAAAAAAAAAAAGTATCTTACACGAATCGAATGTTATTAGGTACCTCTTTATTTTTTAGAAAGACTACCCGTTCAAGCATTCCAATAAACCCAACAGTGGCCAGCCTTTTTCAAAGAGAGGAAAAGAAGGAAAGGCAAAGGAGGAAGAGGAGCATGGTGCCTCAGAGAGCTGGCGAGCGCTGCTCGAGGCCAGGCCGGTGCCCTCAGCGCAGCCTCCCGCTTCCAAGTTCCCCACAGCCAGGAACAGTTCAGGACAACAGCCCCTCTCCGGCCTTTGCTCCAGTCCAAGCAAAAGGCCAACGCACCACCGTGCTCAGATCACAGGGGAGTGACAGCCCCACTGAGCCCTCTCAGGAGGTGACAGATCCCGTCTCTCCTGCTCCGTGGCTACCTTCTGGGAGCAGCTCCCGCTCGGTCCTGCCGTCCTCTCGGTACTCGTCCAGCCACCTGCCATGGAAGAGGGAAGAGGGTAAGAAGAGAGCAGTGGAAGAAGGGGCTTTACGTAAGGGGAAAGCTCTCAAGGGGCCTTCAGAGAGAAACGCTCAGAACTTTTAAAGAGCACGCAAGGTGTCTGCCGCAGCTGGTCCATGTCCAGTTACTAACATTACATCTTTAGGAGTCCAACTGCAGCAAACCTTGTCCTCGAGGCGCAGGGTCACGCTGGTTCACCCTCACACTTCGGATTTTTAGAAGACGCTCCTGGTAATATTGCACACATTCTAACAGTTTTCACCTGCAGTTTCCTTAGTCCTAGCCTTTAGTTTTTCTCCTGCTACAAGGTTGGCAGGTGAAATGGGAAAATTTCAAAAAGCCCAAAGAAAAAGGACTTAAAGTACAAGTTTATTTTGGTTCAAACAAAATTGAACTCTATGCCATTTTTTCATAGTATGCCTTTCCATGAGCTTTCTGAAGACCCCCCACCCCCAGGGAGTAGCTAAACCCTCATATTCCAGAGCAACCCCGACCAAGAGAACTCGAGCATAAACCATCCATGTAAGGAAGTGAAAAGGGAAAGGTGAAACAACTGTAATATTTTCATTGTCACAGTTATTACTTCAACTT